TGAAAAGCATGCTGCTAACCTTATTGGAAATTCATTAAATGTGATAATGCTTCTTTTCCCTTGCTGCTTTTAGGATCCTCTCTTTGTTTTTTTTTGTTTGTTTGTTTTATAATTTGATTTCATGTCTTGTGGTAGTCTTATTTGGATTCAGTCTGAGTAAAGACCTTGGACTCCCATGTACTTGCATATTTATATTGTTTCCCAGATTTGGAAGCTTTAAGCTATTATTTTTTATATAGCCTTTCTATCCCTTTTTCTTTCTCTACACATTATTTACATTCTATAATGCAGATGAAAGCTATCATTATGTTGTTCTATAAATCCCATACACTTTCTTCATTTCTTGTCATGTTTTCTCTTCTGACTGTATATTTTCAAATAATCTGTTTTCAATTCTACAGGCTTTTATTCTGTTTGATTAAATCTGCCATTGACACTATTTCATTTTTATTCCATTCACTGTATTTCCCATTGAATCTTTATTTCATTCATGTATTCTTCAGCTCTAGAATTTCTTGTTGATTTTTTTATGGTTTCGATCTATAATGTTCTCATTTTTATTAATTGTTTTACTGATTTTGTTGAATTTTTTTTCTCTGTCTTCTTCTGGACTTTGCTGAGATTCCTTAAAACAATTATTTTGAATTTTTTGGCAGTTCAGAAATTGCTATTTTTGGGGGTCAGCTACTGGGAAATTATTATATTCTTTTTGTGATGATATGTTTCCCTTGTTTTTCATGTTTTTCATGTGATGATATGTTTCCCTTGTTTTGTTTCTTGTGGTCTTCTGTTAATGCATGAATTTGCTTGCTATCCATACTACACACTCAAACTTTTCAAGGCTGTGAAATAATCCCCTCTGTCTGTCTGATTTCTGAGATGGTTTTGATGGGGAAGGATCTTCTTTTATAGGAACATGCAAGGGTGCTGGCTATGAAGGGTGCAGCAATTCTGACTCTGGTGAGAGTGCAGCAGCATAGTCTCTGTACAGCTATGTTAGCTGTGGCCAGTGTTGATAAAGTTTACAGGACAGTGATCAATGATGTGAGTGCCTGCAGCAGCAGTAAGAGCTTTTGATGTGTTTGGTGTTTATGGCTGCTCAAGTTCTCCTGAAGACTTTTTCTCTTACCTGGGAAAACATGACCTAAAGGATGTCTCGTGCCACTGGGTTTGGCTCATGGGCCTTCCTGCACTGGCAGCAATACTGGTGTCTGATGAGCAGTACCTGTGGAATAGTCAGTGAGCCAAGGCTTAAAGCACAGACATGTGTGGAGGGACCATGGCTCTGAAGTTCACAGCAACAAAGGCACTAGTGCCTGGAGTGCAGATATCCCTGTTGTTGTGTTTGTAATGATGTGCAAGTCATGGGTGCTTATGAAGCAGGCAGGGAGCCGTGGACCTGTTCAGAGTTATAGTAGCTCCAGGCTCCAGGTCATGCACTAGTTCTCTGTGGTGGCTGGGCTGATAATCTGGTGTGTGAATACATGCAGATAGACCTTAATTCTGGGGTGTAGCGTGTAAACTAACTTACTATGGTGGTGGCTCTGATATCTGAGGCATGTGTAGATATAGTACAACCACAGAGCCAAGGTCTGTAATGCAGGCACTCATGGAGAAGCTGCAGTTTAGTGGCCAGGAACATACCTGGGGTTGAGAGGAGTGGCGGCTCTGGTTCTGGCATAGTACAATGGTGGCTACTTCTTTGGTGTGTGTGTGGGTAAAGCCAAGTCTTCGTCTCTGGGGTTCCCTGGCAGGAATGACTTTTGGTTCCCTTAGTGACAAAAATGCCAAGGTTTTCTGCAGAGCAGTTCACTAGGGACGATGGTGCCTCTCACAATGTGCCTGATACTAATGACTTTGGCTTTTCTCTTTGTACCTGGCCATCTCTAGGTGTTTCAGGTACATCGATCTCACAAGTGATCCTTCATGTGCATATTCCTCTCCTTCTTTTTATTCTTCTTCTTGTGCCACTGTGTTGCTGCAGATTCTTAAATGGCCCCTTGAGCACTCTCTGGGTTATTTTGGTTTGTGAATTGCTGTTTATATTTGATTTTGGGGTGTGGGGTAGGCAGATAAAGGCTGGTATCTCCTATTCTTCCATATTGGTTATATCATAGCTGGGGAAGTCTTTTAACTCCTCCGAAACTTGGCTACCTCATTTCTAAAGTGGCCATGATGATAGTGTTACTATCAGATGATAATATAATACATAGTATTATTCTGATCATTAAAACATGTTTTAATTCTGGCACATAAAATCACTCAACAGATACAGCTATCACCGAGGGATTTTCTGCCCCTTCAGAGCTAAGTAAATGTGACTCAATGTTCCCATTTCACAACACACTGAAGTTCAACTTATTATGGAGAATTGCACAGTTTTAGGAAGTTTATGTCCTTGTGGTCATCTGTGCCTCTGGGTTTCTATTTTTAAGAATGAAAATAAAGCTCCACCTCACTGACCTAGATTTGTTTTTTGTTTTTTTTTTTGTTTTTTTTTTGTTTTTTTAAAAGAAATTAGTAAGTTGAAGAAATTTGTCTTTATGGACACACAGGTAACTTTAAGGAGGCAGGACAGGGGTTAAGAGCAAAAAATACAATTTTCAGAACAAGTTTAAGTTCTCAGATCTGATTTTAAGGGTTGTTTGATATTCAACAAATTATTTATACTTTCTGACTCTCATCACATCTGACATATGGATATAATAAATTTGTACTTTCCTCAAAAAGTAGATAGAAAGTTAGTATGATAATGTATGTAAAGTGCTGCATTGGAGTGCCTTTTGCAGCTCAATGCTTGGTGGCTGTTATTACATAGTGTAAAGATCAGCAGCATCCCTCTGCTGAACATTCAGGTAAGATTGAATTCAGGAACCTGTCAATTGCTTGGCTGGTGGAAGTTTAAGCTATTTGCCAATGTTTCTGCAAATCCCAGAGGCTTATAATCTTTGATAACCAATGCCTGCAAGCTTTGGCTTCTGTTATTTTCCGTATTGACCCAGATGTGTAACTAAGTCTTTCTCCAGTTACTTACATAAGGCAGTCCAGTCCCTGTGTGGTGTATGGTTTGCTACGATGTTTGGAGTATGTCTGGCTGTTTATTTTTTGTGGGAGGGGGCAGTTATACTTGCATTAAGTGAGCATTTGTAGCTGTTGTAAATATCCTCTGACAAACATGTCTCTAGGAAGTTTCCATGTTTACTTTATCACCACATAATCTCCAATTAACTCTAGCTGATTGACTCTTCTCTCCCATACATCCTCATGAGAGGGTTTTAGAGAAAAGCCTCTTATCTTTTGTGTAATTCTCATAACCATGGCCCCCTTATTTGTACTTAATGTGGTAGTGTCTTAAAATGACATGTTCATGAATCTTGTGTTTTTCCCTGAGTAGCCTTCCAGAGCCTGAATTACCTTCCGACTCTGTGGGGCCCAGCCATGCTTTTTATTCCTCTGTGAGATGTGGCTGTGCAGCTGAGATTTATGTTGTCTTTTTACCTTGTAAATTCTTACAGCAAATCCCTGTGACAATGTTGAACTTTACCTGAGCCCTGTGCTCCTGGAAAACAGTGACAGTTCAAGAAACCCCTCCACTCTTTTGTGTTCTGGAAAGAAATGAACTTCAACTCACCCTCAATATGAGTTAACATATAACCCCTTCTTAATGAACCCTCTGGAGCATCAGCTGATAAAACACATCCTTTGATCAACTCTTCAGTCCTGCTGCCATCACTAGCTCATCCCACTTCTGCATATCAGTTTCTTTCTAGCCTCATTCATGCTCACTTCTCTTTATGAAAGAAAATTTCTTTTCTATCTGACATTTGACAGTTTTGTTGGTCTCACAATGGAGGCATTCTTCCTAGTGCAATAATCTCCCTTGCATTATTGCTATAGACTGTGTCCCTCTTGCAGTAATCCTTTCAAAAAAATTTCTCCTTACCTAAGACCAGATTTGATTTTTATTTGAAACCTGTTACTTAAAATTTTGTGTTTCTCTCTACCTTACAAACCTACAACAATCCAATTAACAGGAAATTGCCCTCCAAAAGCTTGTATTGCCTGTGTTATTTTATTTCCTTAGGCCCTGCTAAATCTTTGGCCTTCAGATTGTTGACTTAAATCATGTAGCACATTATCTTTGTTTTTAAGTCCAGTAGGCTCGTGCATTGGTGTATCAGAAGTAGAAATTTGTTGAAAGAGCAAATGAATTCATAAATCTCTGACTTGCAAAACAATTCATGGACTAGCAGTGATTAATATTTCTCAGAACTCACAAATTAGCAAAAGTGTTTTTTCCTATCCAATCAGTTTTTCTGGTTAGAAGACTGTCCTAAGTCTGTTAAGAAAAATAACTACCCCAGCAGTTGGAGTCATCTGCTACTAAGATTACTGGGACCTAACCCATACTTCCTGGGAAAACGGTGCAGTTGAGTTTGGGTCAAATGAAATTAATGAGAGACTTAAGGTACAGTCAGCTTTGCCAGGTGGGAAGTAGGAAGAATACGGAGATGCCATGCTCTTAGAAACATGACCTGACACTGATTCACTAAGAGTTATCTAATGGAATGATTTTATTTGTTGAGACTATGACAACTGTAGAAGCCAGGCTTTAATCTTTGAGAAAATGCAGAGGAAGGAGTCACAGTTGACATTTATAATGGGAAAAAGAGACCTCATTATTGAGGAGCCTCTGGGCTAGTATGATGAAGTCTCTCTCTCTCACACACACACACAGTAGCTCAAAGATCTCAAGCAGCTTTACATTACTATACAAGGAAACCCAGCTGCATGAATAGGGATACTCAGGAGATTACAGTGATCAAACTTACTTGGTAGGCATTATATTCAGGATTAGCTTCAACACATGCAATAAACATTCTTCTATAAGAAATGAAACACCATCATTAAAGGTACTATCCTTTCAGAATCTAATCACATACTATAACCTATAGTCAAAAGCAAGAGATCTGTGATATTCTCTTAAGACCTCAGGTTTTTTATTGACGCTTCAACCTGTGCATCAGCTTTGTCAAACCCTGCTTCATGTCTTTGTTCCTCAGACTATAGATAAATGGATTTAGCATTGGAGTCAATATGGTGTAGATAATTGTTGCTATTCGATCCTTGACAGTATAGTTGGACAGGGTCTGAAAATAGACATAGCTAATGCTTCCATAAAACAGGATCACCACTGTGTGATGAGAGCCACAGGTAGAAAATGCTTTATGCTTTCCAGCTGTGGAAGGAATCTTTAGAACAGTGATGAGGATTCTTAAGTAAGAGATGATGATGCATGAAAAGGGGGGTCATTATGACCGCCAAGCCTTCTGTCATTACCGTGATTTCTTTGACAAAATGGGAGGAACAGGACAATTTTAGCACTGGTTGATCATCACAGAAAAAGTGATGGATGACGTTGGAAGCACAGAAGATGAGTTGATTAGTCAGAAGAATATGCAGGAGGGAGTGTAAATGTGGAATGCAGAAGGAGAGAATCAGAAGCAAGACACAGCATCTGTGACTCATAACGGTGATGTAGTGGAAGGGATTACATATGGCCACGTAGCGGTCCATGGCCATGGCTGCTAGCAGGTAACTGTCTGTGTTTCCAAAGGCTATGAAAAAGTACATCTTGGTCAGACACTCACCATAAGAGATGGTCTTTGTCTCTGATAAGAAGTTCGCCAGCATCTTAGGGATAATGACTGTCACATAACAAATGTCAACAAAAGACAGGATGCTTAGAAAGAAGTACATGGGTGTCTGGAGATGAGTGTCTGAGCGATGGCCATGATGATGAGCAGGTTTCCTATCACTGTGGTAAGGTAGATGGTGAGAAACACAGCAAAGAGTGGCTTCTGATCCTCAGGTCGAGAGGAGAGTCCAAGGAGGATGAATTCAAAGAGGGTCTTGTTAGGTTATTTCTTCCCATAGTCATGGGTTCACCTAAAGATAAACTGTTACTGTAACAGATTCTTCCAACATCTGATATAATCTGCCCCAAATTTTCCTTTTATTCTTCTTATCAGCAATTAAAAAATGCAAATGTTACATTTACCTGCATTGTGGCTTCTTTCCATCAATGTGGGGTATTTAGAAATTAACATATATTTTAATCTCCTTTTGGTCTCCTGCTATAAAGAAAAAAAAATTACAGGGAAACAGAAATGGGAAAGGGAGAAAAGAAGAGATATAAAGAGGAAGAAGTGAGTGCGAGAGAATTCCCAGAAGGAGAGGAGGGGAATCCTGGAGAAATTATTCTCTTCTGTTTCTATATCTATGTATTATATTAAAGTTTCAGTAGATAATTTATGGCAGGATACAAAACAGTTTCATCTCTCACTTCATTTTCAGATGATGTAATAATGATTTCCTTTAGTTCAAATATTTCTCTCTGTGTCAATTATTTTGGAGGCTGGCAGTCACCTAAAAAGACATTGAAATATGAGATTACTCAACAGTTACTCCATTTTCCTCGTTTTTTAGTGAAACTTTATTTGAGTGAAAGGATAGGTATGAAGAGGCAAAAGATAGGCAGACAGAAATAATAGGATAGTAAAAACATTTCTTTTCTCTTTTTTTTTTTTTTTTTTTTTTTTTTGAGACAAAGTCTTGCTCTGTCATCCAGGCTGGAGTGCAGTGGCACAATCTCAGCTCACTGCAACCTCTGCCTCCCAGGTTCAAACGATTCTCCAACCTTAGCATCATGAGTAGCTGGGATTACAGGCTTGTGCCACCACACCTGGCTAATTTTTGTATTTTTAGTAGAGACAAGGTTTTGTTGTGTTGGCCAGGCTGGTCACAAACTCCTGACTTCAAGTGATCTGCCTGCCTCAGCCTCCCAAAGGGCTGGGATTACAGGCATGAGCCACCATGCCTGGTCAACATTTCTTTTAATGTAACACAAATCTCATTTTTCTTGCCCAGCCCATAAAGGCTAAAATTGTCATTGTTGGTGCTTATCTGTGTTAGTGTACAGTAATTCTTTTCCCAGTTCTGGTCTCAGTTATATAATATGCTTCCCCAAAAAACTACACAGAGAAGGCACCAGATTCTAGACAAGCTTTCAACCATTGTGAAGCTGAAGGTTTTCCTTTCTGACTCCTCTGGGCCTCCTGCATGCTAAGGAGATTGAAGATACTCATAGACCCCACCCTTTGTCAAGGGTGCATCCTCTGAGATAATCAAGAAGTCCCTGGAGTTCAGATGGAGAAGACAGCAGAAAACAAACCAAGAATTACTAAAGTTTTGGAATTTCTTCCCCAGGGAGGCTGGGGAGTGTCAGTACCTTCTCTCTTGGAAATCACCCTCCTGACCTAACTCCTTTGGGTGAAAAAGATCCCACCTGTGTGAGGCTGGCTTAAGTGACAGTGATGTACAGTGAGGGGCTCTCTCAAAATTCCTGAGCCCTGTCCTTAGAGCTGTGCTGTTTACATTGAAAGACAGCATATAGGGTTGGAGACTGTTTTCTCAGAATTCATCGATTGTTGCGCTAAAACAACGAGAATATCTTATGCCATCAGTCACTTTCCCATCTCCCAGCTTTAGAAGCAGTCCCTTGCCAGACACTGTTTTTAGAACTTTAAAATATAATAACTAATAGGGTTAAGACTTTAGACCCCAGACCTTGAATCTTCACTCTTCTGACCGAAGCATCCTCAAGTATACTCATGTATGACCCTTGCTTCTCATTCAGGAAAGCCACCAGGACACAGACACACAGACACACAGGCACACAGACACACACACACACACACACAACTATTAATTTTATTACAGTTATAACATACAAACATTAAACAAACCAGATTCTATATTTTTGTTGTTAAAATAACTTTAAAAAAAGTGGTTGGCCACTCTAGTTTATTGTGTGGATCTGTTTGAAAGTAACACTATAGCAGTGAGCCGAGATCATGCCATTGCACTCCAGCCTGGGTAACAAGAGTGAAACTCCGTCTCAAAAAAAAAAAAAAAAAAAAAAAAAAAAAAAAAGAAAGTAACACTATAAAAACCCTAGGAGAAAGCATATGCAAAACCATTCAGGACATAGGTATAGGCAGGACTTCATGACTAAAACGCCAAAAGCAATCACAACAAAAGCCAAAATAGACAAATGGGATCTAATTAAACTCCAGAGCTTCTGTACAGCAAAAGAAACCATCATTAGAGTGAAACGGCAACCAACAGAATGGGAAAAAAATTTTTGCAATCTACCCATCTGACAAAGGGCTAATATCCAGAATCTACAAAGAACTAAAGCAGATTTACAAGAAACAAAACAAACCCATTCAAAAGTGGGCAAAGGATATGAACAGATACTTTACAAAAGAAGACATACATGAGGCCAACAAACATGAAAAAATGCTCATCATCACTGGTCATTAGAGAAATACAAATCAAAACCACATTGAGATAGCATCTCATACCCATTAAAAAGGCAATCATTAAAAAATCGGAAGACAACAGATGCTGGAGAGGATGTGGAGAAATAGGAACACTTTTACACTGTTGGTGGGAGCGTAACCTAGTTTAACCATTGTGGAAGACGGTGTGGTGATTCCTCAAGGACCTAGAATTAGAAGTATTATTTGACCCAGCAATTCCATTGCTGGGTATATACCTAAATAATTGTAAATTGTTCTATTATAAAGACACACGCACACATATCTTCATTGCGGCACTGTTTACAATAGCAAAGACCTGGAACCAACCCAAATGTCCATCAATGATAGACTGGATAAAGACAATGTGGCATATATATACCATGGAATACTACACAACCTTAATAAATGATGAGTTCGTGTCCTTCATAGGGACATGGATGAATCTGGAAACCATCATTCTCAGCAAACTGATACAAGAACAGAAAACCAAACACTGTATGTTATCACTCATGGGCGGGTATTGAACAATTAGAACACGTGGACACAGGGAGGGGACCATCACACATTGCAATCAGTAGGGGGGTGTAGGGGAGGGACAGCTTGGTGGGGAGGGTGAAGAGGGATAATGAGGGGAGAAATACCAGATATCAGTGACAGGGGGATGAAGGCAGTAAACCACCTTGCCATGTATGTACCTATGCAACAATACTGCATGATCTGCACATTTACCCCAGAACCTAAAGTACATTAAAAAAAGGAAAAGTAAGAACGTACTCCTCACTGGAACCATTCTAGAACTCAGATTGTCATGTATTTGAAATGGCTCCTGCTTTCATTACTTGAAATTTAAGGTGATGTTTGTTTTCCTCCTAGAGACAGATGGCTCTAAGCAGGTGGAGGCCTGATGGGGGAGGGATTCTGATAGATGAGCTGAATGGATGAGAAGGATAAAGTTTCTACTCTCTTATTTCTTTTCTTTTTTCTTTTATTGTGGTAAGAAAACTTGCCATGAGATCTACCCTGTTTACAAATTTTTAGTGCACAGTAAGTATCACTAATAATAGGACAAATGTTGTATAGCAGATCTCTAGGATTTACTCATCTTGTATAACTGAAAATATATTTTCCTTCAACAGCAATTTCCTGTTCTTCCCTCCCTCCAGCCACTAGGGGCATATATTTTATGTTTCATGGAAATCTATGTTTCTGGTCATTTGGGGCATCTCACTTTGTGTGTACGACATAATTCCCAAATTAGGATTCAAACTTCCCCATATTCCAGTACAACCATCATCCAAGGATATCTCATTTCTTCTGACTCATTACCCCTCACCCATTTAGACTATTGTGTTTTTGCTTATCCATTCCTTCATCTACTATGCCTAACCTGCAAGGCTTGAATTCAGCCTCCTCCAGGATACTTTGCTTGATGACTACCAATTGAAATGGCTTTGTCTCTGTCCCCACTTAACACTTCGGACTTCCATTCTATGCAATATCTCAGTCTGTTTGTCTTATTGCTTAAATATTTTTTCCAGCACTTTAGGAGGCTGAGGCAGGCAGATCACAAGGTCAGGAGATCAAGACCATTCTGACCAACATGGTGAAACCCTGTCTCAACTAAATACATTAATTTTGTAAAATCCCAAACAGCCACAATTTAGTGAGTGCTTGCTCTGTGCTAGGTGCACAGCTAAGCAAATCAGTAAATGAGATGTAATATCTCATTTACTTATCTCATCACCTTAATGAGGTAGGTGGTTGATTTTCTTTAGAGTTGAGGAATCTGAGCCCAGAGAGGTGAAGTGAGCCACCCAATTGTAGCACAGCAAGTAAGCGACAGAACCAGTTTTGAAACATCTCATCAGATTGTTTAACTCCCGCTTGACTCAGTGCTCTTAACCTGTCACTCTGTTGCTTTTTATGATGCTAGCAAAAAGATTCAGATATTATATGCTGAGTAACAATTCCCAAATAAAGCATATTGCCAAAATTTTAAACAGAAAAGGTTCTAAGGAATATGAGAATGTACTGACAATAAAACACTAGTTAATATGTATTAATGTTATTTTGTGCTGAAGAGAAGAATGTGTATTCTGCAGCCATTGGATAAAATATGTCATAATATCTGTTAGGTCAGTTTGTTCTATAGTGCAGATTAAGTCCAGTGTCTCTTTGTTAATTTTCTGTCTGGGAGATCTGTCCAATAACCCATCATTTTAAACTTATGACAACCTAACACTGACAGCATAAGCAAACATGCAAAAAGAAAACGAATAAAAACTATACACTTTTTGTCCTCTCACTTTTTAATTTTTTGTTTTTCCTTATGTCTTATTGTACAATGTTTTGAAAAGTTGTTATTATTTTCTATTGGTTCATCATTTAGTCTTTTTACTTAAGAGAAGTTTACACACCACAATTATAGTGGTGTGCTGAAAATGGGGTGTTGAAGTCTCCAGCTATTATTGCAATGGGATCTCTTTAGCTCTAATAATATTTGCTTTATATGTCTGGATGCTCCAGTGTTGGGTGCATATATATTTATAATCGTGATATCCTC